TACAAATGCAGTCTTCTGGAGGCGGTCAGAGGCAAGACTGGGCTGCCCTTCCAATAGGGATGGAAGGAGAAGCCACAGCCCCCTAGGGCAGGCCTCCAGCTCTCTGAAGCCATCCAGCTCCCCGACCCTCCCAGGAGCCTGTCCATCTGCGCACGGCCAGCTGGCTGTGGGAACAGCACGCGTGCCCACAGACCATTCCCTCAGCCATGGTGGGGCACCATCTGTTCCTGCCAAGGGGAACCATCCCCGTCTCTCAGGCTGCGGCTCTCCTGGGCGGCAGTGGCCCATTCTGAACCACCTCCAGCTCCAGCCCCCCTCGAAGGTCCCCGCTGGGCTCTGTCCTCCTGCTGGGCATGCCAGGCCCTTGGCAGGTGCACCGAGTATCTGGCTGATTGCTGCCTCATGTGGGAGAGGGGCTTTGCCGTTGGTGGTCGGCCGTGGCTTCTAAGGGTCCTGCTCAGTAGTACCAGCAGGGATCCTGGCCCAAGTCATGGACTGCAGTGAAGATGTCTATGACTCAGGTCCCTGACTCCAGGTGAGCCGGATGAGCTCCTGGAAGACGTCGTCCGTGTTGTACAATATCTCAGTGCTCGTTCGCTTGCAGAGTTTTCTCTTCTCTCTGGAGCTGGGGCAGTAAGTGGCCAGAATGTACGTCTGGGAGCTGGGGCCGGAACGTCTCAGGTCCAAATCCCACCTCTGCCTGTTACCTGCTGTGTGACCTTGGGCGAGTCACTTAAGCTCTGTGCATAGACGCAACATGACAAATCAGATGTGCTCAGCGGGCTTAGTACAGAGTGGACAGTCCCCACGTCATGGGTGTGATCTACCATGCCCCGCCCCCGCCCCACCACTGCAAAGACTCCGCATGGCACATTTTCCAAAGGCTTTGCTCCCACCATGCCAGGAGGGACTCAGAGCAAGCCCATCCCTGCTGCGTCTCCCCTTCTCCCAGGAAAAAGTGGGCCACGCTGGGATTCGGAGCCTGGTGCTCTGCTGCTGGGAGGGGTCTGACCCGCACACTCCCCACATCGCTTTCGGATGGGGGAGTAACCCCAAAGAAGCTTCCGTGTATCCTTATCAGGGACTTGCACTGACCCCCAAGAATTCTCTCTGTGTGAAAGCACGGCGCAGGCTGTAGGCCGTGAGGTCGGGTCCAGGAATTAGACCCTGACGAGCGCCCCCTTTGCGGGTGTCCAGCTCAACTCCAGAATCCCGTCTCTTAGTGACACTTTCTGCCTTAGCGCCTCTCCCTGGTTAAGGAGATGCCACAGTATTAATCCGTTTCAAGGCTTTTAAACAAACAGCCATAAATATTTAAGCCTCTGCTTTGCCTATTAGGGAAAATACCAGCTAAGATAATTATTTTTGCCCCTGCCTGACAGAAAGATTTACACAGAGAACAGGATTATGTTAACCTCTGAGCAAATTCAGAAGCTTGGACCCAGGATGGTCTTCTTCACCGCAATTATTCCTGCGGCCACACAGGCCACATTCCTGGATCCGTATGGGGAAAATGCTGGCGGAAGGTAAAAAGAGCCTGAATCATTGATCGAGTTCCCAAAGTGGTGCAGCTTGCGATGAAAGTCAACCGAAATTGAAACATGGATTTGGGCTTCTGCTCACCTGAGCGTCTTGTCGTCCACACTGTGAAGTGTGTCGAGGGCTGGGTCCCGGTGGAGACTGTCCCAGCGGCACCCTGTTGGGCACAGTGAGTCTCGGGACACACGAGTCACTTAGGAGCAGAACAGTGGTTTTGTGGGGTGGGCAGTCCCAGTGTCTGCTGGGGGCCTGAGTCTAGCAGGGAAACCTGGTTCTGGGTTTCTCAGGAAGGTGGCCGTGGGCCATTCCTCACTGCCTTGGGCACCTCTTCTGAGTCATGCTGTGGGGACCATGAAGGGGCTGCAGCCGAAGACCACAAGAGGCCCCCACACTGTGCAGCAAATGGGTCAAGACAGAACAACACCTACGACAGGGCCACCTTGCCTGGGGCCCGACGATACTCCAAGTCACAGAGAGCAACCTTATAGGGTAGACGTTATCATCCCCACTTTACAGGGGAGGAAACTGAGGCACAGGATGTTTAAGTAAGTCCACCACCTGCCCAGGTGGTGGACGTGCACTCCAATAGGATGACTAGAAAGATCTAGAAAGTGCTCAGATGAGAAAGCCAATCTCGAAGGGTTATGTACCATATGACTCCATTGTACACCATTCTTGAAACGACAAAGTTATAGGATGGAAAACAGGTGAGTGGTTGCTGGGGGCCAGGGATGAAGACAGGAGGGGGGTCGGGGAGAGATGGGTGCGGCTCTAAAAGGCCAAGAGGAGGGACGGAACCATACTGTTTCTTGACGGTGGCGTTGGAGATGGGAATCTACACTTGTGGTCGAGGTGCACAGAACTAAACAAACATACACACAAATGAGTACAATTAAAAAAAAAAAAGCCCCAAAGTTACCCAGATACGTTAGAAGTGTGTCTAGGTGTCCCTGGAGAAGGGGGCTGGGAGCTTATCAAATATGGTCATGCAGGACACCATTATGAGTGTGACAGGATGGGCCATAGCCCTTTCCCCAAAGGTGTGTGCGCCCTAGTCCGGGCATCTGTGGCTATGGTAATTTTATCTGGTAAAAAGGACTTGGTAGGTGTGATTAAGGATCCTGGGACAGAGCGCCCAGCCTGGGTTACCTGGGTGGGTCCCATGTAATCACAATGGTCCTACCAGAGGGAGGCTGTGTGGGTGGGATCATAAAAGTCAGAAATGGTAAGAAGTTATGTCACGGACGGTAGCCACATGGAGGCTGGAAAAGGCAAGGTGACGGGACTCCCCCAGAGCTCCTGGAGGGGCGCAGCCCTGCCGATAGTGTGACTTTGACCCAACGCGATGGATTTTGGACTTCAAAACCCCAGAGCCGTAAGATAATAAATTTGTATTTTTTTAGTCCACAAATTGTATGGTTACTTGTAGTGGCAATAGGAAACTGATACAATGACGAACATTAGGGGAAAAAAAAGACAAGGAACGTCCATTATTTGGAACATTTCATCTACGTGGGATGCCCTTGTCCCTGGTGATGTCACGTGGCTGGAGTGTTACTGAACACAGGAAGCTGTTTGTTTGATCTCAGAGATCGGTCTTACTGGAGAGAAGTTCAAACCACCTTTATTCCTAAAAAAACGCTTCCTTTCCTGTCACCACACATTTATAGCAGCTGGTGGGTGTTAAACGGAGAAGACGCAGCTCATAATCACAGTTGGCTTAATGCATGTCAGCCGGCACAGGCGTCAGAATAAATCCTGCATCAGGAAGCTGTATTTTTACTGTACGCTCTCCCCATTCTTCATGTCTGAGGACTACGTAAGCTCACGTTATGCCTAGAGACAGTAATACGTGAGTTCTTTGGAGGACAACCCCCCCGCCAAAGGTATGTATCAAGATACCATGTCACCTTTGGCCACGTCATTGAGAATTTAAGTTTCTAAGTAAATATTCGAAGTCTGTGTTCCCACACTGTCTGGGCAGATAAGAAACAAAACAAGGAACCTCTTAACGATGGGAAAAAAATATTAAGCTTCCCTTGTGGACCACTGGCTACCACGGAGTATAGCACTAGGTGCAAAACACTGGATTTGGCATTTCTGTCCTCAGAGCAATTCTACAAGGAGGATATTATCATTCCTAACTTGCCATTGTGGATGTGGGAGCTGAGAGGCTAAGGCACTTGCCTGAGTTCCCACAGACTGTGAAGAAAAGTCAGAGCTGAAGGACACGTTGGTCTGACTCCTAAGCTCATGTCACACCTACTGCCTCTAAGACAAACGCATGGGGCAACAGGTTAAAAATATACCGCACGAGGGACACCTGGGTGGCTCAGTTGGTTGGACGACTGCCTTCGGCTCAGCTCATGATCCCGGAGTTCCCGGATCAAGTCCCACATCGGGCTCCCAGCTCCATGGGGAGTCTGCTTCTCCCTCTGACCTTCTCCTTGCTCATGCTCTCTCTCATTGTCTCTTTCTCAAATAAATGAATAAAATCTTAAAAAAAAAAAAATACCGCATGAGCTGCCAACTGCTAACATGAACAGGAGAGTGTCCAGAGAGGGAAGGTTGGGGTAACTTTGTATCTGTTAGCTTAGACCATGCTGGAGCTCAGCTGGAAAGACCCGGTTTCATCCACTGGGCTGTGTGTGCACAGAGAGTTGGCTACATAGTGACCCAGGGTTATAACCCACCCAGTCATGGGCATGTAGGTAGGCTCGCAATAGGATGAAAATCACTCAGACTGTGTCATAACAGGAGTGCCTGGGTGGCTCAGTCGGTTATCTGCCTGACTCTTGATTTTGGCTCAGGTCATGATCTCGGGGTTGTGGGATCGAGCCCTGAGTCGGGCTCCATTTGGAGTCTGCTTGAGATTCTCTCTCTCCTTTCCCTCTGCCCTTCCCCCATTAGCTCACTTGTGCTCTCTCTCAAATAAACAAATAAATTGTCAAAAGCAAAAAGACCGTAAAAAAGATGAAGCAATATGGCGACTGCTGTGATCACACGTCTTGAAACCACTCCCCTTACAACCACGCTGGAATATTCTTCCTAGATCAAACACCCTGGTCAATTCCAGGGGGTCATTTAGGGTACTGATCACTCTGCTTTTCCGAAAAAGCCACCATTGGACCCACCTTTTGACGCAGTTTTCCCAAGCAGAACATTTTTACAAGCAATATCCCCCCCTCTCTGCCCAACAGTGTAGCTTAAATTGTCTTGACGATGACCGTGTAAGAGACACATCTACCATACACCCAGCTTACAAAGCAAAGTCCCACAGAATGAGACATTCCCTTACCATGCACTGAGCTCTCACACTTGTTTCCTATTTTGCTTTATTTAGTTTAGTCTATTTTGTGGTCACTGTCTTGTTGATTCACTTGGGGATTCCCCTAGGAAGGGGACTGTATTTGTCATTTGAAAGGTCTGGTCTGGAAACCAAGGAAAATCAGGGTCCCTACCTCTGGGGCGATGTAATCCGGTGTCCCACAGAAGGTCCTGGTTGTGACCCCATCCATCATGTGTTCCTTGCACATCCCAAAATCGGCAATCTTGATATGCCCTTCCGAATCCAACATGACATTATCTAACTTCAGATCCCTGCAAGGAAGCAGGAAAGCATCAGAATCCTTCCCACGACATCGTATGGTTGGTTCCGGAGCTAGCAAGATACAAGGATCTTTGACTAGCTGCCACCTCAACAGTGTATTAACTACGAGTCCTAGGAGAGCTGGGACCAGGAAGGACTGGGTTTTGTTTTTTAGTTTCTAAAATCTCCAGAGCCTACTGTAGTGCCTAGAACACAGTAGGTACATAATAAATGCACACCAAATAAATGACTACATGGTTGGACTAGTGATCCCCAACCTTGGCCGAGCATGTGAATCACCAGATTCTAATTTAGCAGGTCTGGGGCAGCTCCCAGACATAGCGGGGTGCAGGGGCTGGTACCCAACCAGGTCTGCCAAATCCCAGGTTCAGGACAACCTTGCTGGGTCACATACATGCGTCCCTTACATTCTGGCTGGTGCCACAGATCCTTTTACTCTTCAGTTAAACCTGGAAGACATTTTCCTTTCTTCAGCATCAGACTTTGACTGTTGCTAACTACTTAAAGAATTTAACTCAATCGTTTTCCCCCTGCCTCTCCCCAGCTCCCCGTGTTCTTCTCCTGCCGAGCCTCTATAACAGAAATTCTGTAACAGAAATTCAGTTTCTGCTGCTCCCCGACCTCCATTCCAAAAAAAAAAAAAAAAAAACAAACAAAAAAAAACAAGTCAGAGGAAGTTGCTGTCGGTGGAGAGAAAAGCATGTTTTCTTGTGGGAAGCAGAAACGAGATACAAAATCTTCTGAGGCCCGGAGATCAGAGTGGCTCTGATTATTGCCTTCAGGCTGCAGACAAAGGTGGGTGCCGGCAGGTCTTTGTCACCTCGAGGGTCCTCAACAACATGCCTTAAGTACCACCCCCAACAGAATCACACGCACACGGGGGTCCAGAGGTCCGGGAAAATTCCCGGGTGCCCCGCCGGCAACGCAGCTTCAACACGCACCTGTATATGATTCCTCTTTTATGAAGAAAGAACAATCCAATGGAAATTTCTGCTGCATAAAATCTGCAAAAGAAAACGTTCGTCAGGCCTGCCGGCTTGCTCTCTGGACTCCTGAATATTCTGTTCCTTCTGGTTCAGGCATCAAGGAGGCAAAAGAATGTAGGACCCCGGGACGGTTCAGAAATCAGCATCAGCCTACGGATGACAAACCCCTAGCCCTTCCCTTGGCTATTTTATCATTCCCACCTCCCCGAGGAACTTCGCAGCTAATGAGTCAGAGAGACAGGTTTATTACCTGTCTAGAAACAAGCGCTTCTTGTCTGAGGCCGGTGGACAGTTAATTTACTGCTTACAAGAATTCTCCAATACAATCTCTTAAAGACTGGCCGCTAGACTATTCTGTGTCAGGACTGGGGAAGAGTGGAGAAAAGGTCCCTTTTCCTATTCCTGGACAGAATGCATTAACGTTTGAAAGGGCAGCGATCCCCTGGGAGGTGGCGCAAATGTGCTCCGTATAGCGGGTGTCCTCACCTCCCCCCTCCTCCGCACCGTCCCCATCCCAAGCGCTCGGATAAATGGGACACAGGCCATGATTCATGCTCGAGTTTACCCTTTTAAATAATTCATAATAAACTCAGAGTAAATGTTAAAAGAGGTTTTCAAATGTGCATAGGATTTAGGAATCTTTGAAGTCTGAGAATCCACAATGTTGTCTGTGCCAACATCGTACCTGGGAGGCTTGAAATTCGTGCAATGTCTACACGAGCAGAGAACAACCTCTAGTGATGGGCACAGAACTCTGACAGGGAGGGGTGAGGGGGGCACCCCTGAGGGCCGGCAGGGGAGGGACAGGATGGGGGAGGGAAAACTATGGGATTGCAGGTGACTTACATGATTTTTCAAGCTCTTCTGTAAAATAAGACCCTTCTAGCACCACAAACACACAACGTAAGAGGGCTGGACGAGACACCTTGACGTCACCTTATAACGTAAGTGGCTGTTTTGCTACTAGCTCTTTACAGCTCTGTCATCAAGCTTTACTTTTCAACCCAAGCATTTTGATGCTTTCTAACAGAGTTAAGACACGGGATAAAGACAGGCATTCCTGAAAACTGAGAAGTAAAAATCTAAATAGAAAAAAAAAAAATCCCCCTTCAACAATAACAAAAATCTGATGGGCGTTCATGTGTTTGATTAATAAGGAAATCTGAGAATGAAGAAAAAGAAAGAAAAAAAAATTCCCTTTTGCATTTTTTTCAGCTTGCTACCAAAACATGCCTTCTTCTGCCTTCAGTCAATCTTCCCTAAGACGGGTCAAGCCACCCAGCCAGAAAGTTCTTTAGCTTTGTCTTTCACAATGGACATCAGCCAGGATCCAATTAACATTTGGTGACTTGATTAATCGGGGGCATGCCCATGAGGCTTACTCCCCAAGAAAAATAAAATAGCTGTTTTTTCCTCCCAAAAGATTTTTTATTTATCCATCTGAGGGAGCTAGAGAGAGAGAGAGCACAAGTAAGCAGAGCGACAGGCAGAGGGAAAGAGAGAAGCTTTCTGCCAACCACGGAGCCCGATGCAGGGCTCGATCCCCGGACCCAAAGGCAGCCGCTTGACTGACTGAGCCACCCAGGTGCCCCCGAAATAGCTGTTTGTATATGTCTGACTCTGCTGTGTGTCCTGTGACCTCTTGGCCCCTGGAAAACAGGGTGACTTTTTCAGGTACCGAGGTCCTCTCTTCGAAGGGCTGTGTCTCTCCCCTCTGCTGCTGCCTCCTGCATCCCCATGGAACTCTCCACACAGAGCTCACGATTCTCCTCCACATCGTCTCCTCCTTGGCGGCTACCCCCTCCCAAACCTAAAATGAGGTGTCACCAGAAGAGGTTTCTCTGTTCTATACTGAGTTCTGCTTTTCTTCCTCCAGAACATTTCTCAAAGACCCTTCCTCCTCTTTGGCTCCAAGGTCAAGGCCTGATGAAGGTTCCATTCTTTCTCGTCTACATAGACCTTCACCAGCCCCGCTGCACAAGTCCCTACTCTTCCTGCCCCCACGCCTTCCCCTCTTGGTCACGGGGCTCTGTGAAAGCTGAGCCTGAAGCTGTGAGTCCCCCTGAAGCCCTCCCCAGCCTTTTGTGGGCCTCAGCCAGGCCCTCCAACAGGCTCAACACCCAGAGCCCCCACACCCCCAATCCCAAACCACCTTCCTCCTCACTGACTCGGGCATTTCCTGAGGAGGTTCCCCCCCCACCCTTCTCCAGGGCTCGTGTGCTAACTCCGACGTTACGGGTACACGGTACGACTGGCGAGTGACTTCTACCCTGGGTCAGGTGCTGAGCTCCCGGAGGGCAGACAGCCTTTCCCACCCCCAGTGCCAGGTGTGTCGTGACTGTGCAATAATCAATTGTTTAATAACAAGTGGCCGACTCAGTCAGTGAGGGAGTGTGGGTGACAGAATGGGTGACAGGGGATACACCAGCGTCTCCAACCAACTGGATGTAGAATGAACCTCCCTTCGGAAGTGGTGACCAAGAAGTCTGCCCCTTGGGAGGAGACGGTGCTTGGCCCCAAGGTGGGCAAACCCCACTCCCATATTTCACCCAGCAGCGGTCCCCATGGCCTGTCTAAATTAAGGGACTTAAAAAAAAAATACTCACACTGCTTGTGGTTCCTTAAATTTTCCCACTTGCTGAATGTGGTACATGAGGTCCCCTCCATTGACGTATTCCATGACGAAATACAGCCGGTCCTGAAGACGAAGGTTCAACACATGAGCAGGGCTTGGCCACCGGCCAAGAAGCTTCCTTCACTCTTTCTGGGCTGTGTTTTGCTTTCTCATTAGTCAACTGTGGGCCATGCTGGCAGGTCTGCTCGGTGGAGCCCTGCAAAATTTTTCTTCCCGGATAAGACCTAAGTAATAAACCCTATTGCATGAGGGCCCTGGGATGTATAAAGTCATTAACATAACTCTGAAATAACGGCTTTCTGTCCACATGGCGGTCCCCTTCCGGTTCCAGGAGCTCCCTACCTTAGCAACGGCCTCAAAGGCTCTTCCCCTTTCTCCTGCACATGTACTACACGACTACGTTAAGGGTGGTGTGAAGAACCCAAATGGGCCAATTATTTACTTTTTTTTTTTTTAAGATTTTATTTATTTATTTGACAGAGAGAGATCACAAGTAGGCAGAGAGGCAGGCAGAGAGAGAGGGGGAAGCAGGCTCCCCGCTGAGCAGAGAGCCCGATGCGGGACTCGATCCCAGGACCCTGAGATCATGACCTGAGCCAAAGGCAGAGGCTTAACCCACTGAGCCACCCAGGCGCCCTACTTTTAACGAGTGTTGCTGGTTTGCAACACTCAGTGGTGTAGTAGTCGTGTGTTTCCACTGGAAGCTTCTGGAAACAAGTCTCGTGAGTCAGGCTGGGCTCCTAAATTATAAATCCTCAATGGTATTTACTGTGGGGGAGGGGACTATACGGGGAGAGGCTAATGCAATGTGCTTCTGCACCTGTAATAGGCCCAAATTGTTGTTTTTTTATTTTCTCTGTCACTGGTGTGCTCAGTGCCGGCCCCACAGAGGGCGTACCTCATGGACCCCAATAAAGCTGCATATTATGAGGACGTTGCAGTGGGGGTAGATGGGGAACGATGGGGTTGAAAAGCCAAGCAGCTCACAGCACAGCACAACCAGGTGAAAACCGACCTCTGCTCATTTCTAGACAATGTCACCATTTCATGGAAGTTATTAAACATGAAAGTGTCGCACGGGGAGGGAAAAAAAATGATGAGGCTGTTGCTAGCATCCAGGAAACTGCTCCCGGAGCTTCCATCACTAGCTTTCCTGTGATGAATTTTAATTCCATCTTTATTTCCGTGTTTTGCTGCTTCCCGGAGCTTTATCAGTGTAGCTGGGGGATGGGATCTGGGCTGGGATTCGCAGACATGGCTCTCTGCCTGGCATATTGCGCTTCCCTCCCAGGAGCTACTTAGGTGCTACTGGGAGAAGGGGCTGGCGGTGCCACCCGCAACGGGCTGACACGCAGTGGCTGGCATCTTGCTCTGCAGCCCATGATTCGCCCCTGACACCGTGTGGTTCCATGGTCAGGGTCATGCGGAGATTCTAAAATCCAAGAGCACTGAGGGGGGCCTCCCAGGAGATTTTTAAAGAGAGATGGAAAACAGAAATCATTTTCTGGCCAGCAGAAAGTTGAAAATAATTATAATTGTAACAGTAATAATTATAGCTACTGAATATTGAGTCACATCCTAAAAAGGGGAGCTACCGGGGGGTGGCGGGCCTATCTTTGGGCATGCCTGACAATGGTACCCTCGAAATGTTTATATTTCTCGCGGGCCACCAGCAAGCTCCATGCCAGGACCCTGGCCCCACAAAGGGGCTGATCAGTGCTTTGGAACTCTCTTGTCCTCTTTTTCATTATACTGTAAGACAGGGCTCGGCAGACTTTCTGTAAAGGGCTAGACAGTAAATACTTTAGGCTTTGGGTGTGTCTTGCCACAATTCAACTCTGCCTGTGAAACAGGAGAGCCACTCTGGATGACAGGAAAATGAAGGAGCCTGGCCGTGTTCTAAGAAAATGATTCACGGACCCTGAAATGTGAATTTCATCTAATTTACACGCCACAAGATATCATTCTTTTTTTTTTTTTCCTCCTCCAAAATTTCTTAGAGCTCATAGGCTGTATAAAACAGACCAGACTGCCAAGCCGCTGTGTGCAGTGCATAAGAACATACTCTTTTTGGAGATCAAGTTTCCCTGGGTTCTAATGCTATGCTCGGCAACAGGATCCATGGTCTTCAAAAGCCAGGACTGTGGGTCCTTTTATTGGTGGTGTAGCCTCAAGTCTTAGCACATGGCCCAGTAGATGGAAAACTCTGGTACACATGTTTGCTGAATTAAATAGAATTAGTGCCAAGCCTGTAAGTAGGGCACATCCCAGAGAGAGGACTCCCCAAGTTTACCAGTAGCATGAGAGTGAGAGGCTTTCTGGAGCCTTCTCCACTGGAGGAAGGTTGACTCAGATGCTTACAACGCTGGCTCAGGGGTGGCCCCTGAGAGCAGGCCGTGTGCTGAGCCACGGAGACGGCGTAGCCCCAGGGGACTCACCACGGTCTGGAAGCAGGAGTGTAGCTGTGTCAGGAATGGGGGCTTGTCCAGCAGGGCTAGGACTCGCTTCTCCACCATGGTGCACTCCACGTCATCATCTTGAATCACCACGTCCTTCTTCAGGATTTTGATGGCATACAGTTCCTCTGTGCCCTTCCGGTCAGCGAGCATCACCTGGGGGCAGACGAAAGGCAAACTGAAAGCTTCGAAGCAGACCTCTGGAAGCTGGGGGTGGGGTGGGGGGACCTGGTCAGGCGGCCGTTCAGTTGGTGCACATTTGTAAACGCGGGCTATGCACATATTCATCAAAGTTCCGCTTCATGGGCCAATTCTGAAATGTCGCATGGCAGTGCACAGAAAATGCCGCCAGCACTGGACAGTGCAGAAGCTGTCTGGGTTTGTGCGCTGCACAGGCTCTGGCCACATGGTGGCGCTATGGTGGCTGTGGGAAGGAATCAACGTGGTCCTCAGCATTGGCCTGAGTAGGCATGTTTTTCAGGAGCATCCTTTGGGCAAAAATGTGACTGCGCTCATGAGTCGGGAGCCAAGACAAAGAGACAGGATTGGAAATCACTTCCTGGATCTATCGTGAGATTTGGGGCCAGAGAAGCCAAATGCAGACAAATAGCTTCATTGCTGAAGAAACTCTGTTCAGCGTCTCTCAGCTATTACATTTGCTCACTGTGAATCAACTTTTAATTTTAATTTTTTTATTTTTTAGATTTTTAAAATTTATTTATTTTGATTAAGAGGAGAAGCGAGAGAGAGCATGAATGGGGGAAGGGAGAGGGAGAAACAGACTCCCCAATGGGTAGCCTGATGTGGGGCTCGATCCTGGGACCCTGGAATCATGACCTGAGCTGAAAGCAGATACTTAACTGACTGAGCCATCCAGGCACTCCACAAATTAACTTCTAATATTTAGTTGTGAAAATTATTGATTCAAATTATTGATTCAACCTACATTTCAGAGCACATGCTCTGTTCTCAACATGGAAATAGGGGCACACAGTGAACCCTCTGTAGCTTTCTGGGTACAGTTGTTTTTAATGAAATGAAGTGGTGGGTGGGGCATCTGAGAAAGGAGTACAGAGAATGGGGAAACCCCAAGGACAGCTCTGGAAACCTCAGGGAGCACAGACCCCATGCCTGATCCCGGGCACTCTCTGCAAATCCCCCCTGCCCCTCCCCTCACCCCTTCCCCCTGTCCCCAGACAACAAACAGTCCTCTTACCTTTCCAAAACTCCCCTTCCCCAGCACCATGAGGAAATTGAAGTCGGTGAGTTTCACTCTGTCCAGGTTGTTGGAAGTTTGTCTCCTGTCTTCTGAAGGACTGATGACTTTGTTACCAGCAGGGCCAAGCTTGGCTTTCTAAACAAAAAGCACACACAGGAAATCGAAGGGTCATTTTACCCAGGAAAAACAGTGACAGAAAGCATTTAACTAAGCTTGAGGGCAGCTGGGAGGTGGGAGGGGGTATGGGGGCAAGAAAAGAAATCACAGGGCAATGAAATACTTATTCAAAAGTCAGTGGGTATATATACCCTAGGGGTAACATTTGCAAAGTAGCAAAAAAAAAAAAAAATTGCCCTTACCTATCAAGAGACAACCCTTTACATTGTTTACCAAGTCACGGGACTCTGTCAAGAGCAGGCTGATTCTCATTCTGGGACTTAGAAGTTAACTTCTGGGGGTAAGACGGTGCTTCACAATGGTTAACATAATAAAAGAAATAAATGGTGCACTGACGTTCTTATCTGTAGATTTTTCCAATTTAAGATTCATTTGCATAAAGGAGAGCTGTATCCTAGCAAAAAGGGGTTTCCTGGAGAGGAACCTCTTAACCGGCAAGCTGTGGGGATGATTTATTGCTACTTTAAAAGGCATAGTAAGAACACAGGGCTTGTTGTGGTTATTGTTGTTTTAAGTCAAGAGTTGAACTCAGGAAAATGGTGACGTGCACGAGAACCTACATTCACACCAAACACCCAGCACCCTCTGAACCTGAAGCATCCTTGATCAGTGACCTGTCAGTTACCAAAAGGCGTTTTTTTTTTATAAGCCAGGTTCCTGCTACACATAGATGCTGGAGAAACTACACCCTCATTGTTCGTGTTGAAGAGTTAAGAGTCTCGGATTAAAGGTCAAGGAGAGGAAGAAAGCTCAGCCGAAAAGGACAGGCTAATGGCATCATTTGGGAAGGTCTCAACGCTGAGCAAAGGAGCCCACAGAGAATCTCCCCTGAACTCTGCCTGGAGAACATCTGCTTGATGGTGAGGGCACGAGCTGCTGGACATGTCAGCTGTTGAAAAGGCCAGGTCCTGCAGTGTGGCTCAACTGTCACTGCCCTGAGCCCGAGGGCGAAGACTGTGGCTTTGGATACATTCTAAATGTTCTAAATGACAGGGTAATCCCCGCACCAACCCCCCCACCCACCCGCAGCAGACCTAAGTGGCGGCTTTGAGTTTCCCAGCAGGGGCCAGGACATCACTCAAGTCTGTGTGGTTATGAAAAAGAAGGTACACGATATAAAGAAGGCATTCTGGGCTTTGCTTTGTGACCAGAGCTCTCTCTTGTGGGAAGACGGAGGATCTGACATGTTTTCCTTAACAGCAGAGGCGGTTTTTGAGGAATCACCCATATTCCCTTAGAGCAGCATCGGCCCTTCATCCCTGAGTTCCTGCGCAGGCACCTTGTGCCAGGCTCTGGGGAAGAGGCTTTGCATTAGCGGATCGGGCCAACTCTGGATGCCCAGGCCTCACGCAGGGCTCGGCACAGGGCATGCGCTCTACTTTCTGGCTGAATGAGGAAATGAAGCTTGAGTGTGTTCATCAGAGGCTGTGCTGTTAGGGGATGCTTTCCTGTGATAAAAACAACACGTCTGTGTAAAGACCAAACCTCACGGCTGGATGCATGCTTGAACTGAGCACATCCGTGTGTGCAGAGACATTAAGACCCGGAGAAGAGATGGCCCCCACTTTTTTGCAGAGACCTTAAGACGTGGGGGAAGGATGGCCCTAACATTTTTGCTTCGAGTCTGAAAGCATTTATACAGCTCTCCTATATTCCTCTATCGGCAGTGCGTGGAGGGACACACGCATGAACCTGGGGGTCGTTGGATACACTGACACTCTTTAAAGACAAAAAACTGAACTACGGTAATATGTAAATGGGCCTCCCCTTTGACAGAGGATGGAAGGACTGTCTAGACAGACTTGTGAGAAAGAGCTAAGACATAACCACTAGTGTTACATCAGGACCCCCCTCAACTTCGGGACCAGCCCCGTCCCCTGGGAGCCAGGAAGCAGGAATGCAGGAGCACCTGGCTCCAGGGGTCCCAGGCGGACCAGGTTCGACCACGTGCCACGGACAATGTCCAAAGGCAGACAAACGAGGGCTGGTGAACTGAGAAAGTAATTTACTTCAGGGAGGCCAGCACCAGGAAGACAGTGGACTAGTGTCTCAGAGACCGTCTCCAAAGTGCTGAAAGCACTCCCAGGTAAGGAAAATGCAGGGCAGAGGCCGGTGAGTGCATTCATGCAGCTGGGCGGTGAAGGTCAAGTTGATCACTGTCTTGGGGGTCAATCACGCGGGTGTCTTGCTGGCATAGGGTATTCCTTATTGCAGGAGAGGGTAGTTTCGGTCCCCATCATGGGATGCTTTGCCCAGACGGTCTCATGCCTGTTTAGAGAGAAGCTGGAAAGGAGAACTCAATCATTTAGAAGGTAGAGACTGGGATCAAAACGGAGGTGGCGGAGAGCGGTATTCCTCTTTCACTCCACACATCTGCCGCAGGAATGATTCCAAGTTGAAAAACTTTCTGGTGTGTGTCGTCGACATTGCAGTGAAAAATCAGGAAGTTCAAGTGTGAGGTGAGAAAACCAACGATGCCACTCTATCCTGTTCTTTTGATTTTTAAAAAGAAACGTTATCTGAAAGAGGCACGAGGAGATTCATTTTGTCAGGAACTTCACGGTAAATTCTGAAAAGGCCCCCACACGACGGACTCAGTGTTCAGAGGCGCTTGAAACAGTCGAAGAGTGTCTTCCCCTGGGTGAGGCTGTGATCGTGCCTGGCTGTCCAGGGACACCCAGCGTCCATCTGAAGTGTGGGGTTCCTCACCAGAGGTTCCACTCCTGTGAGGTCCTAGAGTCCCTGCTCCTTCCTCCTTTGACACTTTTCAGCACCACAGACAGCGAAAGAGGGATGGTGGGCTGCTGTAAGGGTCCCCTCACTGTGGGCCACAACCCAGCAAAGGAGGTTGGCGCTGTGACCTTAGTCCAGGTACGGGGAAAAGATTTTAGCCAAAGGGATGTAAATGCAAGGAAAGCATTTTTGCATTTGAGTATTTCTGAACACGACTGCAGCAGGATCTTGGGATTCCACTCTGAAATCAATCTGTGAGGTTTGGGAGGAATGTTGACAAAGGAGTCTCCTGCTCCTGGGAGGGAAAGCTGGAGGGAGAAAGGACACTGGCTTCTTCCCCTGTTCTGGGCAGATTCCATTTTCATGTTTCTGCAGCTAGAAGCAGAGCTGGGTTCCATGTGGCTGGCAGAGCAGGGGGATAGTATGGAAGGAGACGGGCCAGGCTGCCACACTGGGTGCATTCTCCAGCAGAGGGGCAGGCTAGAAAGTTGCCTGGCCCAGAGGACGAGAAGGATTTCTCCCCAGCTCCTGGCATCCCTGAGATAAGAGCAGCCTGGGGGGCTTCGTGCAGCTAGCCTTCCGACCAGAGAGACGTGGCTTCCATATTTCCCTGCAGAAGCTTCTTCTGGAGTCATTTCCCTGCTGCCATGGGCAGGTCTGGCTGTGGGACGGCCCGGAGCCTTTGCCCCTGTGGAGTCTGCAAAAGCAACTCTTCTAAGGCAGTCAGTTCTATGAGACCAAAACCGCAGTGGTCTGGGCCTGACTTTGGCAAGTCCCTCGCTCAACCTGGGTCTAATCATTGGCACAGCTGGAGGAGACAGCCAGTGGCTACTCTAGCAGTTGTGCAGCTGGGGACTGGTGGACAGCAGACGACCCCCAGGAGGGTGGTCTACACAGCCTCCACCTCCAGTCTACATTCAGGTAGCCTCTGGCCAAACCCCCTCGTTGCCCCTCCCCCCTGCCTCTCCTCACCCTCCGCCGCCCCATGCTGTGGGTATGCAGTCCCCCATCCCTTCCCAGGCTGACTTCTCCCCACCTGCAGGCTCTAGCATGACTGTCATCTCTTCAGAGGACCCCTCCCCAAACACTGGCTGCCATTCTCCCTCCCACAGCCCTGCTCTCAACAGTGCATAGGGCGACTTGGGAATATTTATGGTGTGTATGCCTCTTCCAATCACACTGTACAGCTCATCTATTATCAGGTTGTGCCAAATCAACCAGCAGATTAGGTCCAGAATCTGGCCTCTTCTCAGGGCCTCCTTCACCACCTCTCCATCAAGACGGCCCGGCCTCTAGGGTCCCTACTTCTTTATCCCATCCCTTCTGTGACGTCCCTTTTAGTATATCCCCTGGAGGGACCCTGTCCTGCCTCCCTGGCTTCTCATCTGCTGGACAGAAAAAGGCTGAGTTGTCACAAAGGATGAGGAAGAGCCCCGTGGCTGTGAGCTCTGTCTCTGACCTCGGTCCCACAACTCTCTGGCCCCTTTGTTCCAGCCTCCAGTCTTGGCTGCTCTTCCTGCAAGGGCCTTGCTATCTTGCTCATCCACCAAATCCAGCTCACGCACCACCTCTCCATCTTCTCGATGCCTCCTTCCTCCTGGGATTTCCCACCTGGGGGGACATGGCCTATGACCAGCCCACATCCCTGGAGCTTTCAGCTCTGCACCCCTGTGCACATCAGAGGCTGCCTGCAGGTTCTGTTGGGGCCACACCTGCAGGGCAGGCCTGAAATGCCCACGCTGGCATCCCAGGAAGTCATGGCCTCGACTGGTGCACAAGGAAGTGGGTCCCATGCCATCTCCCTTGCTCCCCAGCAAGACTGGGCTCCAGCCTGTCCGCCATGTTATGACCTGGATAACGACAATGCCCTTACCTTAGCTGGCTTCCTCCCTTCCCTGGATCCCATCCCTGCTGCCCTGCCCCCCACCCCAGGTCTCTTGGGATCACTTCCCAAATGAAGTCCTTGCTCTCAAAACCCTGTGGCAGAGCTGACTGATCAGGGGAACCTAAATGAACAGATGATTTTTTCTGAGGATTTGCTGACCTTTCTCATCAGACCGTGAGGTCCTGGAAGGCACGGACCATCTTACTCATCTACGTGTCTTTAGGCCAGGCACTGTGCTGGGCACAAAACTGCACATTCACGGACTATCTCATTGATGGGTTGGTTGGTTGATTCATTCATTCAAAATCATACATCTTCACTGAGTCCTACGACAGAATTT